ACTTAGACAGAAAATTAATAATTTTCATTTTGCATTTTATTCTTTCAATAAATTGTAGGAGACTTGTTGAATAATTGAATGAACACTCGATATATACTTGTTCGCCATATTTTCAATATGTTTTAATACTTTATAATTTATATATCATTTCATTTTACAATTTGTGCATTTCTATACAATTATGTATTTTTTAAGTATAATAAGACATTTGCTTGTATGTTATGTAATAAATTTAATTAAAACTAAAAAAAACCGCATAGATCCCGTCTAAACACCTAGAACTCTGCCTGCCATCTAATCAGCTCTTAGCGCATTTTAGAACCTTAACTAAGTAAGAATCTTTGTTGGTTTGTATGATTGACAAGAAAGATTTAAAGTTTATAATTTTACTCAACTTTAAGGATTGCATCCACTGATTGTGATAGGCATTAGACACGACTCTATTGCTTTATCTATGAAATGAAGCTTAGCGGTCAAATTTTTTGACTAATTTCTTACAGGTTTCATTAAATAAAACTGTGGAGAAGAATATCCGTGAAGCTTATTCTTTAATTTATTTTTTACCAATTTTCCACGCATCATTTTGTAGCATGGAAAGTCTAAAAGTTAAAAACACCTTTCTAAGTTTAGACGAAATTTATGGGCGATTTGTTTTACTTCTGCTCTCTAATGTCAAGTAAATGATTGATGCTGCTCAGAGGATGTATGACAATATTCTGCTATGAATAACATGTTTGGTTTTGGAAGTATATTTTGTTGGGTCTAAACATGATGGATTCTAACACGTTACTGGGTGTATATTTCCTCTTTATAATCCATCGCATTACGTAACGAGAGAGATATCAATAAAGTATATAACTGGTTGTAAATCATTTTGATATTATGTGGTAATTTTGTGACGAGATAAATACTGACAGTATGATGTACACCGGTTGTACACAAGAACCCCATTCTAAACAGATGTTGATCCGTGAATTAACAGAAGCTTAGAGAAGGGATGATGTGGAAATTTCTGGACCATCCATCTCATTGACCACTTTTGCAGACAAATACATGCTGCTACAGCCGTTTGATTCCACCTCTGAGAAAGTTTAAAGAAGAAGGTGCTCTCTCACGCTCTCTCACGTCCTCCTTTTTCTTCAAAAGTGTTGTTTTTGTGGGCAGTATATGTCTCTTGACTTGCTATGCATGGAGGAGATGTACAACTAAGTCACAAAGAAGAAGAGCACCACTGATCATTATTGCATAAGAAATGCTAATGGAATTCTCTTAAAGTAGAATCCTTCATAAACTTTCTGTCATCTCATATTTTATGCACAATATTTTATAAGAGAATTGTTATTAGCATTCCAAAAATTTCTTTATACACTCCTCACAAGTGTTATTTTTTTTCTAATTCTAGAAAGTTTGGAGTGTCAATAACAATTCCCCTTTATAATATTGACATGAAAATTGACGTTAAACTGTGAGGTATCAGATAATTCACGAAAAATATCTCACTTTTGAGGCCCCTTTACGTTTCTCTTATTACGTATACTTATTAGTTAAGTTTGTATAGCCATATAAAATTAGAAATACCTACTTCCTTTATATCATTGTTCTAGGCTGGATAACATATCCCTTTCCCTCTTTGCCAAAGTGATTGATTCCTTTTTTCTACTCAATACATGGCCCACCCACCCTTCACATAAACTAGGGTTTTTTCTTTCTTCTCACTTTTCTTTTGTTAGATTAAACCAAGTGCTTAATTAGTTCCAAGATTTGAGATTAGTTTATGTTAATAATTTTAATTAGTTAAGAGAGGTAATCTTTCCATTTATTTTGGTTGAACACTGCTTTCATGTTTTCATGGGGAGATCAGATTCTGATCCATGATTTGGTTGTTGTCCTTCTTAATCTAATTAAGGTTGGAGTTGCAAGTTTTTAATTAAACACACACACACACACATATATGAATATTTTGCTTCCAAAATGGTTTTCTTCTAAAACACACTTAAGAAAACTAATCATCTTCTTAATTATTTGACATCTACGTCGAGATTTTAACCGTTAAATTCTTGTTCACCTCAGACTCGGAGTAAATGCCCCATCTTTCTAGGTTATCAAAAATCTTGGTTGTATTTTACATGCACTTTTCACGTGAGGTAATGCCACTAATATTTGAAGCTATGACCTGAAAACAGCTGAAGAAGATGAATATTTAGAGTTTGTGGTTTTCACTGGCACCCAATAAGCAACGCATGATTGCATGATTTAGTTAGTAGTACCAACACTTTAACGAAGAGCGGGTTCTAACCGTGTCCTTAATTAGCTCTAATAATCTTTCCATTAAGATCCAATCATAGAGGCAGGATATATATCTTTCTGACACTGGCAACAAGGAGTCTAATCCAATATATAGGAAAGGGATCCTGCCAAGTTTGGGAATCCGAACCATTGAAATTTGATCAAACGGCTAAAGTTATTACAATTTTTAAAGTGGGCCTTTGTTTGTAGCCGTTTGATCAAATTTTAATAGTCCAGATCCCCAAACTTGGTGGATTAGGAGGAAAGGATCCGGAGAGGATCCCTTTCCCAATATATATGTGGGGATGGATATGTATATATTTGAACCGTTATCTTTTAAGTTTTCTCTCAAATATCACGTCTATCAAAAATCACTCATCCTTGAAACAGTAGGACCGTGGGATTAAGGGTTTACGGTTTCTTTGTAGAATCGTATTCGTCCATTTTCTTCACTACAAATGAATGTCTTAATGATTTTGGATTTGTCTAATTGTTTGCAAATATGATATATGAATGATGTTCTAAAAGACAAATGATTTGGATCGTTAAAATACATTAAGTAGTGGGCCCCATAAAAATGTGTGCTAAAAATTGTGTAAAAAAAGTGATGCTACAGATCTGGTCATATATATATATATTATTGTGTGTACTAGTACTATATAATATTGGATATTGGACATGAAGAATTTTGATTCTATCGTCCCCTTTTGATATATAAATATATACATTTATGTGTGCCCATAGAATTAGAGAATGTTGATGTGGTTTAAGCTTTATGGAAAGAAAGAGTGTTTTCCAACTTTACAATTTGGCATGGACCTTTGTGTTTCCTTATAATATGAGTAATGCTATTCATACCATATTTTTGTACCATATTTTCATATTTAGGTGGCATTTGATATGGACAGCCACATCATTTGAATTAATCAGATTTTTAAATTTAGTTCATTATTTAATAAACTAATAATTAAGAAAAATTAGTTAATTAAATGATGATTGTGGTGTACGAGGAGGAGTCTTTCTCCTTCATTTCCTTGGGTTTTGCAAATTTTTCAAATGATGTGGTTGTCCACATCAAATGCCACCTAAGGTGGTATAGAAATATGGTATAAAAACATGGTATGAATAACATTACTCTTATAATATTGCTGCTGCATCTGCATGGCATGTTTACCTCCTTTCATCCATAGGAGGTTAGGTAGGTCGGAAGGGGATCCTCTCCGGATCCCTAATCTACCAAATCAGTGGATCCGTACCATTGAAATTTGATCCAACGGCTAAAGTTATTTTAACTTTTAAAGTGGACCCCTGTTTGCAACCGTTGAATCAAATTTCAATGACATGAATTCCCTGATTTGGTGGATTAGGAGGAAGGGATCTGAAGTCCCTTTCCCAGGTAGGTGACCATCTTCATGTAAAAAGCGCATTATGTTTAGCTTTTGTCTAATCCTTCATGTCTTGTCGACGGAGATGGACTTATCTATCTCCGTCACAGTGTTTTTTATCTTTATCTCTCTCCTTACGTGACGTGATCAATCATGATAGATAGAGACAGAGAACGAGAGATACTGCCATGGGAAAGGGAAGTATTTTCACTTGTGAAATTCCTGCTATGAGCTTCAAGGAATGAAGAGTAGGGGAAACAGGGTAATTCGAACGTAATTTACATAAAGAAAAGAAGGGGATTTTCTCTTGGGGCATTGGATTCTCGCGGGCAATTTGAAACCGAAAGAAAAAAAGGAAACGCCTTTGGCTCCACCAACCTCTCTCAAATGCCATTTCAATTTATACAAGCGATATTTTATTTTAAATTAATCTACATTTGTATTTAGAGGAATTTGAACACAGGTGCATATAGGAGAGCCATTCATCCTTACAAATGTGGAAAGATTTTTAAGTGTCTTCGAAACATGAGTACATAAGTCATATGATATTATGCAACGTCAACAAATCATACACTATTTTAGATGTTTATGAAACTTGTAGCTAGTATTCGTTCTTGATCTTTATCATCTATAAAAGGATCCAAAACATATACAATCTTAAGAATGGGCTACAAAGTTGGCGTCCTATCTTTTGTGAATGGGCTACTGAGGATTAATTGGTCACTGGCAAATGCCAAGTTTAAAATTAGGTGGTAACCCATTTCGTTTACTCACATTACACAAAACAAGCGTTTGGATCTCTTTCTTTCCTCTTTCTAACTGTCCACATCTTCACGTATTTGGACTCCAGACACAGATATTTTGAGAGGCTCTCAGACTCCACATCCATGTCCATTTTTCGGTGTCCTTGAATAATCAATGGTCTTTATTTTTTGAGAATTTTTAACGAAAAATTTCTGATACTGTTCATTTTAACTAAAAATCATATTTTTACACTAAAAATTCAATCATGGTACTATTCAATTACCTTTAATTTTGTCCTTACTGTTAAAACTCAAAATTTTCAAGTCATTTTCATTAGTTTTCCCTATTTTTTTTGTTCAAAAAAAAAAACAATAACTACTAACTTTTGTGGAAAACCTTCAAGAGTTTAATCGGATAAAAACTTTTTATAATTTCAATTGTCATGCTCTAATTTTTTTTTTTCTTTTCATTTTTTTGTCGACCGATAAATTTTATTAGATTATATGTTAGATGAACAAACGACGAAGTTCAAAAAAATTCTAATTTTTGTGGGTCTATCTATCTTGTATTTTTTTGGAGGGATATATGCCGTCAAGGAGGAAAGGAAAGAGGAGGTCGTGCGAAACTAGAAACTTGCGTCTCCTGCAATCCGCGTCAAACCTGGTTTTGGCTTCCGCCCCAAGCCAACCCCAGACCTACCGACCGACCTTGTCTCTCCCTCTATATATTAACCTTCCAAGAGGGGCCGGCTGCCAATCCAAGACCAGAGATTCCAAGGGAATTGAATTCAGATTACGAACAAGATGACAGGAGGAACAGAAGCTTTCCCGGATTTGGGAAGACACTGCCAGCTCTCCGATTGCAACCAGCTCGATTTCCTCCCCTTCCAATGCGACGGTTGTCGTAAGGTACGTTGGGCTTCGTGGATTCGATTCGGAAAATCAAGCGTTTTGCATTTTTTGATTGCCTTGAATTTACGAATGTGCAGGTTTTCTGCGTTGAGCATCGGTCCTACAAGTCCCACGAGTGCCCGAAATCGGACCACAACAGCAGAAAGGTGGTGGTTTGCGAAATCTGCTCGGCCTCCATTGAAACCACCGGCCGCGACGGCGAACAAGACCAGAAATTGCTGTTGGAGAAGCACGCCAAGTCCGGAAATTGCGACCCCAGAAAGAAGAAGAAACCAACCTGCCCGGTTCGGCGGTGTAAGGAGATTCTCACGTTTTCGAATACCAGCACCTGCAAGACCTGCCAGATCAAGGTTTGCCTCAAGCACCGGTTCCCGGCCGACCATGTTTGCAGGAAGCCGACGGCGGCACAGCCGTCGTTGGTGGGGAAGGCTGTGAGCTGGAACGACAAGTTCATGGCTGCTTTTGCTTCGAGGGAAGGGAAAGAATGTGGGAAGAGTGCGCGGGATTCCAAGTCTTCGGCTTCGAGTGCGCCTTCTGTTCGAGCTTATTGAGAGATTGTTCATCTGCTTCCACAATTTGATGTTTGTCCCAAACGACATCGTTACGTTGTAATTCTTTGATTCAATTACAGTACACAAATAAACGTTTGATTCCTCCTTAACCGCAAATCACAGTCTTCCGAAAATTATACAGACACAAATGCATGAACAAAACGAGAAACCGACGTGCAATGTACAAAGTAACTAAACATTAAATTCATACATTCATTTGTTCATGTCTTAGTTCTATGTATAAAATACAACACAAACCCTATCTTTCAAATCGACAACACGACACCTATAGAGGAGGAGGAATTATTCAAACTAATCAACCCCTCTCGAACCTCAACTTCAACTATATTTCAGATACAACGGGTGAAAGTACAAACAAATGAAATGCGATTGGCACAGCGGCAATCTTCTATCCTCCGTTCTTAGTAAGATCTTTTGTTGCATCGGTAAAAGTAGAGATTATGGTGGTTGCCGTTTAGTACGGGGCAAAAGTGCAAGAAGGATCTTTTTTCTTGGTCCCTGAATATTAAGCAACCTCTGTGAGAACGGATCAAGTCCCATTGCAACGAGCATGCGGATAAGAGATGAAGCTTAGAGTGAATGAAACTTACCATCGGTATGCCCAGCTCCTTGAGATCCTTATCCCCCATCTGCTTCAAAGCAGTCATGTCCACCTGCAAACCCAACAACCGAGCATTGAGAAACCTGACGTCCACAACCAAGACGAAACATAGAACCTAAATTCGTCTTCGGTTATATTAGTATTTCTCGTTGGATTGATCAGATTTCCCCTTTAAAAACATAGATATTATTCCCTATTTTAGATGCTGTGTCAAAAATCAGATAACGACGGCCTATAGTCTTCATCCAAATTAAGGAAAGCAAATTTAAATGAAAAATTCAAAACGGCCAGGTAACTTACTTCTTCAGCCTGGAAAATAATGGCATATTTTCCCAAACTAAGGCTATGCAACAAGCCAGCAACAGTTAGAGTTTCATCCACCTGTACAAACGCAGAGATAAACTCATCAAATTTGAAGTAGCAATACAAGACCAGATTTCCTAAAATTGAAGCTAAAATGGTGCAATTGCCATAAGGTAGTACCATTTGTGAACTTCTCTGCAGACTGGCACTTGGTGGTGCAAACTGTGCTATTGGCCTGGCAGCTTGAGGGTTAGCTTTCATTGTGAAAATAAAGGAGTCTGTTGGCTGAGAAGAACCAACCATACCAATTCTCGGGAACTGGCCAGCTCTAGAAGCGTCAACTGGCCTAAATGATGATGGTGGGTGCAGCTCTCTTGGTGGGGATCTACCTCTGAATCCATCTGTAGTTGGAGAAGAGTAGAAGTTTCTTCGAGAATTTACCTGGTATAGATCAGCGGGACTTTCTCTGGGAGGAACCTGCCTCATGGTGTTACTTCCATTTGTTTCTGAATTATGCTGCAACACCTGGTATTTCAGTGAAGGATGAACAGGTTTTGAAAGCTTTGCACGAGGGTCCATCTGCTTGCGCTCTTCAACAACTCCGCCAATTTGCTTCTTAAATAATCTTTTACGCAACAATTTCAATCTGAGGTCATTTCGACTGATTCGTGAATCTTCACTTGGTTTAATGCACCAGAGTCAATACAAAGAAACCATATAAAGAACAATAAACGATACATCATGGTAATATCAGTGATATCACATAAGATAGTTTACCTTGCAGTGTTCTATCACCCTCATTCCATTTTATGCCATCTCCTCGTTGCCTGAAAATTGATATTGAACACATCATGATAGGACTAAAAACGCATCTGACATGTTACTGCCTGAAATACCAATTCTCAAAATGGGACAACCATAAAAACGTTACTGCCATCATAATCAAACTTCTGTAAATTGATAAACGTAGATCTCTGATTGTCGCCAAACAAACTTAAAAAGAAAGGCGAAAACAAATAAATTATTTTCACATTTTTCAAACTACGCTTCTAATTAATGATCAAAATGCACCAGCCTACTCCTAAATCAGACCGTTCTCAACATGAAAATCCTTCAAGAGCTAGTTCTAGCAATGGTGGTGGCTTGCACGGTAGAAGATGTTAAAACATTTCTGGGCATTGGATACCACGAGTTCACTGTAATAACTAATAACAACCATAAGAAGGAAACAAACTATTGGAGAATCACAAGCATCCTCAACACACAGCATCTGAAGAACTACTGAAACGAGTAGTATGCTGATATGCCAGGCAAAAGTTATGGACATAAACGAGATAGAACGATGTACCGCTTGCCCGAAGAAAACGAAAAACCATGAGCATTACTCCCAAGTCTGTCTGCCATTCGTTTACTTCCAGAAACCATCCCACTATCACCACGCATTTTCCCAGAGTTGGATACAAATCCTCCTCTCTCCACAACCTACAAATATTTCAACAAATAAGCAACCAAACACACAAATCAACCCGAATTCGCATTCAAGCCGGTTCTTCAGCCCAGAATATTATGAGCCATTCAGCCAAGTCCAGCACAACACAAAAGTTCGTCAAAGCATTCCAAATAGCTAAATAGGATGAATTTGAAGCTCAAGAAATTGAATCTAATTTAGTAAACGTAAGATAAAATTGATCCCTTTCCCTTTGAAGCTGATTAATGTGGAAAATTACACAATTTGGATAATTGCAACCATCCCCTTCTTCCTCACAGATTCAATTGGCGAAGAAAAACACAGAAACAAGAACGAATGCAGAGAAGAAAAGTTACCTGGCCAGAGCGACCGAGAGTGATGGTAACCCTCGAATTCGACATACTTAGAAGTCAAAATCCCCAATTGATTTCAGAGCCAAACCCTAATCTCTCTCTCTCTCTCTCTCTGTGCAGTGCAGATGCTGCGATTTGCAGAAAGAAGAAAGGTATAATCCATTGATGCCATCCATGCTGCGGAGTTGGCAGTCGCCACCCGGTCAGGTCAATCCGATGGAATGGAGGCCTATGTTTTTCCAGCGGCCCCACCACCTTCAAAGCCCACTTCTTTAGATATTAGAAACGTTGAGGCCCATTAGCCTGATTTTTAATTAATTTTACCGAATATCTAAGGGGTATGCCCTTTGTCACTCAGTACTACGGTATAGTGATATTCTTCTTCACTTGGAAGTGAGAGGTCTTAGGTTTGAATCTCATGGATGGTGAATTCGATACCAAATTAAGCTGTCCATTATGTGGGTTAGTCGAACTCCCCTCCCTTTAGTGTAAAAATATCGAGGTACTAAAAAAAGAAAGGTATTCTCTTTATACACCACGTTTTACTTCTCATATACCTCTTGTTAATGTCTGAATCCTGTGTTTGGAGCTTGCAGACTGAGAGATACAAATCACTCATTTTCAATCTTACGACCTTCATTATCCTATTCTATTGGCTCACTTCACAAAAATCCAACAACTTAAATAACCCAGATCTCTCTTTTAGACAGTTTGAGCCTTTCGGTCCACAAGCTTCGGACACAGATCCGGAGTGGATCTCATTCCCAATTTTAAACGACTCGAATCTCAAAAACTCAAAAACTTAAATTTAAAGAGCTGCGAAAAAAGAGATCTAAAGTGAATCTCATTCCTAGTTTTAAAGAGCATATAATTCTTTTCTTAATTGTAACCGTCCACGTGTCAGGTGAACAAATCCAAAAGGCATCATTCCATGGGAATTTCTTTTGGACTTTGGAGCACAAAAGCCAGGTGGCAAAGATTCAATTGGGTTTGCGGATAAGGAGATCAGTTAAATTTAAATTACAAGAAAATCATGAGAATATGGCAAAGTCCAGGGGCTGCACCATAATTCTTGAATAATTGCATTAAAAGGATTAGTACGTCACCAGAAAAGAGAAGTAATTTCCACACTTCTTTTCTCTCTCTACACGTCCCGGGTTAATTTTGACCTCTAGATTGAGTAAATGAAAGGAACGTCAAGAGACGGAAACAAACGGAGGTCCGTAAAAGGAGATAACGGAGAGATTCAAAATATGAGCTTTTTTTTTCTTTTTTCTTTTACAAATACAGAAGTGGACTGTTTACACATGCTTGTTAATACGCACTAAAGCTTATTACATGTTTGCTGTTGATTCTTTGATCTCTTCCAGGGAGATTGTCTGCATTGCACAACAGTTGTGAAGGTAAGCAATTAGGTTATTAAAACCGTAACGGATGAACGGGACTACGTAAGATTTTCTCAAAGAATGATGTATGAAGTACCTGTTCCGGTCCGGCAAAATCATTGTCCGGAGTGAGAAAGAGCATGCAGTGGCATTCCTTCCTGCCAACACAGATTCACAGTTTTCGTAAGAACCAGGTTTACATATACAGACATCGTTTTCATATAATGATCGCTTGAATGCAAATGTTGAGAGTTAAAGCTGGCTTTGAGCAGAAAATTCAGACTAGGAAGACATAAACACAAGAACCTCAACAGCAAAGAATACAATTTTGGTTTTGGTATTCCAACGGCCATCTGGTTGAAATTTGCAAGAACTATCGGCATTTCACCGGAAACTTCAAATGAGAACTTTGATTTCAGCTAGCTAGCAAATATCTGGTTTTGCCATCTCCTTATTATGTCTTTAGCTAGCTAGCAAATATAACACTAAGCCTACTTATCCTTGATTTCAGGCTGAGTACCAAAAATCTTTTGCCCACAATGATTTGCCGATATATCCCAATCGTAATCTAGTACTTCAAAGCTTATGACACTACGTTTCCATATCAGGTATACAAATCTATAATCTAACGGAACGAAAAATGTAGAGAAAAACTGGTTCGTATACTAATTTCACAAAATACTGAAATATATGTACCTCTCTCTCATAGGAACACATGGGCAGTTCCAAAAGCCTTGGCCTGCCTCGGCAGGTTTATCATCATAATGCCTGCAACACAATAGATTCAGACTCGGAAAGCATGACATGACATGAACATGAATCGACTTTGACACTGGTAAGGTGTTTGAGGCAGAGGGCAAAGTAAGAACACCATCGACTCCTAGTCAAGAAAAAAAATACTAAGGAACAGATGCTTACCGACAAGGGCACAGCGGAGCTCCCAATGAATCTTTATGGTCTGCCAATCCCTGTTGAGTTTCCAGGATGAGTTTCTTTCACATATACTATCGTACAAACACAGTTTAGTCAACCGAATTACGATAATGAAGGATCCAAGTATATATATAATCTCAGGATGCCATATCCATTTGAAAGGGATCTTTTTGCCCCAAATAAATTCTCTTGTGAATTGTGATGCAAAAGACGAAGAACTACAGCAGCAAGATACTGAATCAAAGAACTACGCATATAGGGGTCGATTTAAGAGAACAATTCAAAGGTGTTTGATAGTCTATTGGATCTAGGGGGTCAGGGGTACATGTTCTTTACTGTTCCAACCCCTGGCGGAAGGCCCGAAGCTCATAAAGTAATCGGCTTTGAAGTCGATTTGAGTCCTTCCAGTATACAATGATATGGAAAATACTTAAGACAGTTCTAATTAAGCATACAACATAAGTAAGTTAATCCACACCTTGATAACAACAGAGGTAACTCCCTTATCGACACAGAAATATGTTCCGGACTTGCGAGCATACTGCTCAGAGAACTTCCTCATGATTTCAACAGACTTATCTGACGGCTCCGCTGCCAGAAACATTCAAAATTTAAAGCATCCATTAGTGCAACATTCACGAGCAAAATTCTGACCGAAGCTCAAAAATGTCAAAAATTCACCATCTTTGCAATCAAATAACAAAATTATGAAATCCCAAATTCTAATTGTAATTCAAGCTGAAAAATGTATATTAATCAAGCAAGTTAAAATTTTTTTTTTAATCAAACAACAAAATTATGAAATCCCAATGCTCCCACAGAGTTCGAGTCTACTAATGAAGCAAGTTTAAATTTTTACAATTTGGAATCGCATAAATCTAACAACGTTCAGCTGGTGCTATAAATCTGAAAGCTCAATAATTATAAACTCAAAAAATAAAAAATTTGAAAAAAAAAGAAGAAGATGAAGAAGTTGGAGAATTGCTAACCATTAGCTATGATTACAGGGCGGCGCGTGGAGCGGTTGAGAGGAGAAACGAAGGACGCAATGCTGGCGCCGAACGACGGAGCTTGGAGTTGCAGAGTCATGGCCTCTGAGACTGATGAGAGTGTGGAGTGGAGCGCTGTGAAATTAAATTATACTTTCTGGGTAATAATCCGTTCGTTTATATAATTTTTGAGGAATTTAATCTTGGAAGTTTGGGGATTTTATGATTTAATTTGGTAATTGGCATTTAATAAAGTTGTGGAAGTAAAAGCCGTTGCCCGCCACACGTTGAGAATATCGGTTAAGGAAACACACCAACCACTCGGTCCGCTCACCGCTATACCAACGAATCTAACCCCCTTCCTTCCGAACCCTTCCTTCCTTGTTATTAGGCCTTGGGACTTTTGCTTTCTGGGTTAGCTATGAGCCCAGCCCATTTATATGTGGTTATAATTCAATTTTGACCTAAAAGACAGTCCCTAAATCGCGAGGGGTTAGAGATGGGTAAGATACGTATGAGTTTGGGTAACTGAGATTATCCGTCCATTTAAAGTTCACGGTTAGGGTTTTGGGTAACCGTATAGACGAACAAACGGTTATGGGTACAACCATTTATCCGTGAAATTTAAATGGGTGGTTATGGGTGTTATCCGCGATTATAACATGTATCTATCGGTATTGAGTATTACCCACAGTTATAACGGGTATCCATTTACCCATTTAATTTAATATATGTAAACTTTTGGAGCTTTGAATTTTCCACGGTTATAAAGGGTATCCATTTACAAAATAATCGGTGCGCACATGATTATTGTGTTTTTGGACTAATGAAATGAAATGGTTTTCTTAAATCATGTTTCAGTTGCCATTGATGCTATTAGGAACGGGGAATGAAATTGTTATTGTGTGTTTACGAATCATGTTTCAGCTTCTGAAAATGCTTATAAGGGAGTACTAACTGATGTTCCAAAGCCTGGAGGTGGCGGTTATAATGGGTATCCATCAGAATATTTTGGAGCTTTGAATCATCTAGTATTCAAGATAATGACTACTTTTTATTTTTTGAAGCTTTACTTTGTAATCATATGGATTATAATTAAAGACTTGCTGAGGTGGGCAGAAAAATATCGTTCGTTAACTATTATTTCAATTATTGGATTGTATGAGGACTTAAATTATTAAAATAGGGAAATGCATGCTAAAATGTACCTATAATGGTGTTTAATTGTCAGAAAACGAAAATTATGACAAATTTTTCTTTTATAATTTTCAAGTTGTTAAAAAAAAAAAAAAACATGTAGACGGGTAAAAAAGGGGTAAATGGGTAAAAAAAAGGATAAACGGCTTCAAAAACAGCTAAACGGGTAAATAGTTATGGTTAAATGGGTACACGGTTATGAGTATGGTTAACCGTTTATAAACGGTTATGAGTATGGATATAACCGTTTATGCAATTACCCAATGGATAAACGGTTATGCGGGTATGAACATAAACGGTTATGGGTAAATAACCGCGGTTACCCGCCCGCCATAACTGTTGCCCATCCCTAGGTAGGATGACTATATTTCTAGGAGCGAACTCTAGGCAAATATGAAGTTGTATGGATATAAGTTATGCCTTGGAATGTGAAGTTGTATGGATATAAGCTATAAGTAATGCAACTATGAATCTCGTGAAGAGTTTGATCCTGGTTCAAGATGAACTCTGGGGAATGCTTCACACATGCAAGTCGGATGGAAAGTGGTGTTTTCAATGGTGGACGGGTGAGTAACGCGTAAGAACCTACCCTAAATAATAATAATAATAATAATAATAATTCATCTGAATTGAATTTGCTACATCAAATTTTTGATATTGGAAAGAGAACTATCACTAAATTAACAGGAGGTACTCGTGTATTAGTCTCGATGTAGATTACTTCAATTCTCATCCAACAGTATAAATACAAGAGAGATGCATCAACCACATCTACATAATACGAAGACTATCTACATGCGAGTTTGGGACTTGTTTTTCTCTAAAATGTGATGTTGTTGCCCAATTTAACGAGTGGAGTTTTCTTAATTTGTATTATTAAGAGATCACACATGAACACATCACACTAATTATTTTAGTTCAAATAGTCTTAGTTGTCTAGTCCAGGCTATCAAACAAGGCCAGAAAAAGTGTTGCCCCCATCACTAGCTAAGCAAGAATTCAAGGAAGTTCATTAATGAGAGAAGTGGTGATCTTCTCTTGCTTGGTGGGAGAGAGAAAGCTTCCAGACCGCCTTTTCCAGCCAAATAGTGAGCTTACTCAACAAGGAGCACTAGCTGAAAGCGGCCGGGAATGAGTACCTATCCCTTGGGAATAGAACCTAACTAGGGCAAGGCATCATTTCATGGATAAATTATTCTTGAGAGAACTCAGAGAAGCAGCCCTGTAGATAGAGCACTTTCTTCCCTTTCATCTCTGTGTATGTGAGTGTATTTTGTAAACTTAAGGTAATATGTATTTATAGGAATTCGACGTGAAAGCAAAGTACCGACTATCGACTACATAACGCCCTTCCCTCCTCCTTTATCCAAGCTTGGGACCTCCAGCATATTATAGACAAGATTCAAATTCATTAGTTATACTAATAAACTCCTCAAGTGCAGGATACATATAGACATGAAGCCCAGGAGTACATCATCCATATACATATGGCAAGCCAACTTAACCAAATCCTATCCAGACAAATTGTAATCAACATTCAACAATATTCATTTCAAAACGGTCGAATGACTGCACAACCTGGACAGATGAGATTCGCTGCTGAAGGGATGAACTTAGTAGCTACCTTGACCACAAGCAAATATATTTCATTAATTAATTTCAATTTTTTGATACACTAGACCACAAGCAAATATATTTCATAAATTAATTTCAATTTTTAGATAAAAAAATATTACTTGGATTTTGCAAAACCAGTACATATTATACAAGTGTATTAGTTAATTACTCCTCATTTCCTAGTAATAGTATAGCTTCTTGCTAGCTGTTCTAAATTATTATTATTACACCCTTATGTAAGAATCAAGTTTTCCTGCCTTTTTATTTAGGAGAGTGTTATCTACACACCTATTTTGCGACTCACTTATCTCTCAAATTTTGACTATCAAATCGAATGAATTGAAGAACAAAAATAACAAAAAATTAACAAATGTGTGAGAAGTAAAAATATATGGATGAATAACATTTTTCTATATTTACCACGTGCAGTCATGAAATGAATAATATCCCACAAACAAAATGAACAAATATGAAAAATATCAAACAAGAGATTATTCAGTATTCCCGGAACATCAAAACCACAAAGCCACATAACAAGATATGGCATTTGCCTTAATCATCAAACTGTATCATGTATATTTGGTGAAAGATAATGGATTAAACTTAATCTATTTGTTCAAATATGAAAATCCCTCAGTGCAAACCCTAATAAAGATCTAAATGGACAAGAGTCAAGTTTCAAGCAATTAAGTTACCTGATTAATTAACATAAATAAATCAAATCTTTCAGCAGTACATATATATTAATAATACACTTGCATTCCATGCATGATGAAATTTGAACCATATATAATAAATTAAATTGATCCACATATGTCTTCAAGCTTAAGCTAGTATTAAGTTGCACAGATAATAATTCTGATCATTTAAGCAAAATAATTCGTACACACAGAGGGAGAGATTTTGGGGGGGGGAGGGGCACAGAGAGAGAGAGAGAGAGAGAGAGAGAGAGAGCGAGAGAGCGAAGAGTTTCTTTCCAAAATAGCGAGTACTCTCTTGATAACCTAACAAACAAAACCAGAGCAGAAATCCCTGCTAATACACAAGATCTAAACTTCTTCACACAAATAAAGTACGTAAAGAAACAATAACTTGAAAACTCCAGATTTGCTTGCTTTGATAGCAAATCGTCGTCGTCGGACCAAGATGCTTGATTCCCCAAAAGCACAAACACTTACACAAAAGCTTTGAAATACAGTAAGAAGAGGAGAGAGACTCATCAGACTCTTCACTTTCTCTCACCACCAAGGAGTAAGAAAGGTGATAGCTATAGCTGAGCTGAGCTAGGGTTTCAGCCGGCCGCTAGAAATCATGATGAGAAAGTTTTCTTTTCGTTTTGGGTCGTCACTTCTTCTTTTTCTTCTTTTTTCTTGGTGGTAACTTCAAAGACAGTAATGATGATGCTTTGGTCTTGGGGTTTGTGGTGGGGTGGTTGAAGGAGGTGGTGAAGTTGCAGGAGGGGATGGTGTGGGAGCAATGATGGCGATAAAGAAGGTAAGGAGAGGACATGATGATTGCTGTTTGGCTTCTGGCGTTGAAGGAAAGGCAAAGAAAATGTCTAGGTTTTTTGTGTCCTTCTCTTTTTCTTCTGACACATATGCAGAGAGAGAGAGAGGGTAGAGAGAGTGTGTGAGTGATGATGACATCCATTCATCAAGCCAAACCCTAGCTACTCTTCATCTGAATTCAAGGCTCGTACGTGTCAAATAAAACCCACAGTTTCATCTCATTAGTTTGGGAAAAGGGAAAGGGATCCTCTCCGGATCCATTCCATCTAATCCTCCTCGTCAAATAATCTGGATTTTTAAAATTTGATCCAACGGCTACAAACATGGGCTCACTTTAAAAGTTATAATAACTTTAATCGTTTGATCAAATTTCAAGGGTCCGGATTGTTTGATTAGGAGAATTAGATGGAAGGAATCCGGAGATGATCTCTTTTCCTGGGGATCATGTGGTCATTCATCATACATCGTGCGATCATCAGTTTTCGTTAAGTACTATTTATATTTAATTTTAAATTTCAAATGATTTCTAACTGCACAATGTATGATGAACAACTATCATTTTCCTTTAGTTTGGGCTCGTTTGATAATTTATTTAATTTTGGGTTTTTTATGGGAGTTTTAATAAAACACTCCCGGTATTGTTCACTTTTAACGAAAAACCACATTTTTACATTTCTCTGGTACTATTCACTACACCTTTATTTGTCATTTTTCATTAAAACGAAAGTTTTTTTTTTTTTTTAACTACTACTTTTTGTTAGTTTTCCTTTTTTTTTTTTTTTATTAACACCCACATATTGTTGAATACACCCCACTTAAAAATGTAATACTAAACAATTTGTAATTCTAATATGAAATGACTATTCGAGCCTTCATAGCTACTTTTACTCTCCATTGTAGAACAAGACAACACGTTGATGAAAAAATATCTTTTGATGAACACAACAAAAAATGGAGTTTTGCTCCTCATTCATTCGTTGGTTTTCACATTCAAGAAATTATTTAAATAATAGAATAAAAATTTGACTTTTTGCAAAGCTTTGTTCTAATTGGAATCCAAGAAATAGGAAGAAAACTAGAGAATGTTGTAAAATTTTAAGATGTAATTAAATGTAATATTCTTGTGGTTGTTTGATGATGAAGAAAATCAATGTTTTTTTGGCTGGTTGGAACTGAGACATGACCTTATAAGAATCGTTCCTACCATTTGTCCATCAAGCTTTTTAGAATCCAATGTGATTGTTCAAGAAAATTTGACGGATGTTTATAAATCAAACAGCAAGATGGAGATTTTATACCACAATTTAATTCTTCTTCCTTGTCTTTAAAATGTGGTTATTCTTTTGTTTGAAAGAGATGAAGAGTTTGATGTGTGGTTAATTAGTTGATGATTGTGGGATGTGTGAGGTGTGTGAGGTGTGAGGTGTGAGGGTAGTATTGGAAAATATGTGGGGTGTGTTAAGAAAATTTTTAATTTAAAAAGAAAATGTGGAGTGTAGTCAACAAAATGTGATGTGTTAATAAAACAAACCTTTAATTTTTGGGAAAACTAATGAAAAGGGTTTGAAAATTTTGAGTTTTAACAAAAATGACAAAATAAAGGGTAAAGTGAATAGTACTATGATGGATTTTTTCGTGTAAAAATATGATTTTTCGTTAAAGTGAACAGTACCGGGAGCTTTTCGTTAAAGTTCCCTTAATTTTTAACTTTTAGTTTTCGTTTGAACTTTTTTGGTTTAATTTTTTATTTTCACCTTTTAATAAATTGAAACTAAAAATTGTTATCACATGAATTTTTTATTAAAAATAAATAAAAATAAAATGGTTATCAAATAAAGTCTAATAATTTATCTTTCTTATTAGCAATTGAATTTTTTGAAATACTTAGTGTCACATCCCCGTCTGGGGCACACCACTTCCCGAGCCCGCTCCACCACCGTAACACGATATTGTCCGCTTTGGGCCCCAACCACGCCCTCACGGTTTTGTTTCTGGGAACTCACACGAGAACTTCCCGATGGGTCACCCATCCTGGGAGTGCTCTCGTGCGCTACTCGCTTAACTTCGGAGTTCCCATGGAACCCGAAGCCAGTGAGCTCCCAAAAAGCCTCGTGTTAGGTAGAGATGAGAATATACATTTAAGGATCAGTCCCCTGGGCGATGTGGGATGTCACAATCCACCCCCCTTAGGGGCCCGACGTCCTCGTCGGCACACACGCGGCCAGGGTAAGGCTCTGATACCAAATTGTCACATCCCCGCCCGGGGCACACCACTTCCCGGGCCCGCTCCACCACCGTAACACGATATTGTCTGCTTTGGGCCCCAACCACGCCCTCACGGTTTTGTTTCTGGGAACTCACACGAGAACTTCCCGATGGGTCACCCATCCTGGGAGTGCTCTCGTGCGCTACTCGCTTAACTTCGGAGTTCCCATGGAACCCGAAGCCAGTGAGCTCCCAAAAGGCCTCGTGTTAGGTAGAGATGAGAATATACATTTAAGGATCAGTCCCCTGGGCGATGTGGGATGTCACACTTAGGGACCTTTTGATAACTATTTTGTTTTTACTTTTTTTGTTTCTACATCTATCTTCCACCATTATTCCTCCACTCTTATACCTCGTCCCCTCCTCCAATCTAGCACAAAATTAAAAACTAAGTAATTATCAAACCGGTAATGAGAGAGGATTTCTATTTTTTTTTTGTTTTCGACATTTTAGTCAAAATAGTCTCTGAGATTGACATAACTCCTCACTTTGGTCCCTGATATTTGAAATTGATAGAAGTGGTCAATGAGTTTGTCCATCGTCAATTATTTTGGTCATTATGTAGAAAATCTCTGTTGAATAAGAACCAAAATAATAAAAATATCCTCAATTTAATAAACAATGGGCAAAAATAATTTTTATAAAATTTGGGGGCATTTTTGTCATTTTTGCTAATTTAACTTAAATTTTTCATGAAAAGACCAAAATAATTAAAGATGGACAAACTTAAAAACTAATTCTATGGACTTGAAATCTCAGGGACAAGGTAAAAAATTATGTTGATCTCAAGCTAAAAAGCCTTTGTTTTCTTTGGTACAAATTATGGTTTTATTCTTCTTGTACAAGAGAAATTAAGGGAAAATGGAAAATGGAATTGGAATCTCTGCTTCCCACCGTTGGATTCGGATCCGAGTAGGGTGACAAATCCGAGTAGGGTCACCTGGATGTCATATTAGCCTAGGCTTATCCAAAAGCTAAAAAGCAAAAGTTGGATGAAAATATCACTAATCTTTGATTATTATCCTCTTTCCTCATCCTCCGGACGGACGGGTGGACCATTTGAAGCCACGTAATTTTGACTTCGACTGGCTACGTAACATTATTTCTTCAACGTCGACAGAGAAACAAAGTTACAAAACGCATGCTTCGGCATATGCCGGATGGGGCATGCAATGTCATGTCATTCTCTATATAAAGGCTCCTGGGTTTCACACAAGCTGAAATATAGAAAAGGACTTGCACGTGCGAGAAAAATTTATATGAAACGAGTAACGTCTTGGGTTAATAATGCAATGTCATTCTCTTATATGGGGATATAAGTTGAGTTTGCTGAAAACATCGCAACCCTTGCATCCTTGTTTTATGCAGAGTTTTCAAAGTTTTAAAACCCAAGGTCAAAATGTGTTCCTTCCTCAGCCATAATCGCTTAAATACAGAAATCAACAGCGCATTCGACACTACAACCAACTCTATTCGACGCTTTCGACCGAGCTCGGTTGCGAGTTGGCACGCTTGAATTCACAAAAAGAAAATAATTAACTTATAATTACTCGACATGCGCTCTGCGTAAGCTTTGTAATTTTTAGAGTCAATACCATTACAATGTACACACTAGATCATTTCATACATTTACTTTTAACCTTTTTTCTTTTCTCTTTATTCCTTAAAAAAAAAAAAAATCAAAATTTGATGAATGTTTATAAATGTTTCGAAAATTCACAGATACAGAGGGTGTCTTCTGAGTTTACAACTTGACTAAACCTAATCTGAACCTCAACTCAACCAGCTCTCTGGACTTCTAGCGTTAAACTTCCGGTCATTGGATGTAAAGTGTCGACGGAATGCCTGCATTTCTCTTCTTGAAGCACTAAATCAATCTATGTACGAAGGTTATTAACCATTCCAAAGTTATCATCTCCACAATTCCTGGAATTTGAGATGCCAAAAGAGGTAAGAACAGATGAATTCCGGAGTCTACTCACGCTCTTAAGATGATCATCGGCTTCGGTGACTGTGTGTGTAGGTGCAAGCTTTCTACCGTAGGCAATGATCAAGGGATAGATGATCCAGCGGTACCTTCTGGCACAAGCTAAGATTCCAACCTAAGCAGCTGCATCTTCGCCTTCGCGAGATTTAAAACCGCACTCGAGTCTTATTGCCGCCAGGAGTTCGGGAGACACAGCACCCCGAGTAGAAGCATTTTTCCCCGTGTTACTTCCATTACGGCGAGGATTGTCTCCTGCGCCCCAGCCCCTGTAAAGTATAACTTTGCTAGGCTCCTGGGAGACTAAAACCGCACCCGTTGCTTGCTACGAGAGAGGCAAAAAGAGAGAGATCAGCAATTTATAATGTAAGCAAAGAAAAACAAGGGGGATAAGAGAAATAGGAGGAACTTGGGCGTGCACACCTCCAGTTTGAAAACAACTTCCCTGACCGAAGTTCCTTTTGCTCTGCCCTTGACGTTCACTATCGCAAGAGGGTGCTTCTCAAAGTGCGCCTTGATTGTTTTAGCAACACCAGTTACAATGTTGCTCCTTCCTAAAATGTGATAAGAGAAGCCAAGTACTTAAAGTTTCTTACCAAGTAAACAACCGCTTTAGCAAATTATAAATGAACACGAAGAGGTAAACCGGAAAGCATAAAGTGGTTATAAAATTACCAACTGCTATCACAGGGCGGTTTTTCATCTTGAGGGCTTGTTTTCGCAGAAGAAGCCTCTCATTGTTGGAAAGACGAACTGCCTTCGAGGGCCTCTCATTAAAATTCTTTCTTACCAGTACTGGGACTGATGGTTCTGATTCACTATTGCCAGGTCTGCGTGATGAGTCCCTGGCCTCATTATCAGAAATGCAACGATGTTTGACCACAGTTGCTGAACTGCTCAAACGGTTTGTCTGAAACCACATAAATCATACAACATAAGAAGTTTCCAACCTAGAATATAAACATGCATAGAAATTCATGATAATTGATATTTACCGAGAAAGATTTAGAGACGGGGACTCCCTCCTCTCCATTTACATCCTTGAGCAAATTTGCATGCGTTTCATTTCTAGTTGGTTCACTGGAAGATACTGGCTCAGCTTTACCATTTTCATCCTCACCCCAGATCGAAGAGAAAGTAAGGACTTTATCCTGTTGTGTGGCTACCTGACCGTCTACTACAGTGCCCGTTCTATCTTCCAATTTCATGGGAGTCACATGAACTTCTTGTTTGTTTCTAGCCTTAACAAATACAATGTACACTGTTTCAGATACCAATCTTCCAAGCTGCAGAAGATACTAAGGAGGTACTAAATATAAACATGCATAGATGTAGATATTACCAGAACATCTTCGGAACAACACGTAGATGGGAAGTCTTCAACTTCTCCATTTATATCCTTGAGTGAATTTGCACGACTTTCATATGTAACTGATTCATTTGAAGATCCTGTCTCAACTGTACTAGTGTCATCCTCTTCATTTGTAACTGATTCATTTGAAGATCCTGGCTCAACTTTCCCAGATTCACCCTCGTCACAGGTCGGAGAGAAACTCGTCATATTGTCTTGTTGCGTGGCTAATTGACCGTTCACAACAGGTGCCACTCCATCATTCAAACTTATGGGAATCACATGAGCTTCTTGTTTGTCTCTAGCCTTGAATGATACAAAATGCACTATTTTAGACCGTACTTCGGAAGAAGGTACCAAGGAGGTGGTAAATATTTAAATAGAATGAAAACATCTGACAAATTAGCATAGTATTTACTATTTAGATTGACATTCACTTCATGACAAGCAGGTTTTACAGAATGAGAGAGAACCATGTTAAATTCAGTATCTGATCTCAAACGTTATTCGGACTTTACAACGTTTGCCTCTTCAAAACTATTAACTTTAGCTCAGTTTATTACTTAATTTGGTTTGAAGCCCATGGAAGTATATAAACATGAGATAACTCACCAATTGAGTTCTTGATTCGTTAACCGAGTGCGTATTGTCTGATTCCTTTTCTTTATTCTATTTCAAGAAAAACATAGCACAATTTGCCTCACTTTGAATGGGAACAACGGACATAAAATTTTGATAGAAACTGATAAAACAGAATTATAAATACCCAGGACAACTCACCAATTGAAGCTTCAATTCAGCTATGTTTTCATTAAGCTTTAAAACATGAAGTTTCAAAGACTGCACGTCAAAGCAGGAAACAAACAAAAAGGAATCAGATGATGAAGTAGTTATGACAATGGGGAAATTTTAAAACAGAAAATAGACAAATTAGTTTAGTTATAGATAAAAAAATAAAAAAAAAGAAGGAAAGTAGATTGAGCCAAGATCCTTGAATAAGGGATTCCATAGCAGTGAAACTATAGGTGTATACTTTATTAACATATTTCCAACCAAAAGCACCTTTATCATCAGGTTTCAGGGGAGATGACTTTGTATGTTAAAAGTACTTGATAGTATATGATGGAATAAGATCACTATGTCATTAATCCAGTCTCTTTGAACTAGGCGGATTCCTTTTCCAAATGCAGCGTTTTGGGTTGCAGGAGGCTGGTTGGTAATGACAAATAGCTTAAATGCACGTGAGCAGATAGAAAATCCAATTTTACCTCACGACGCTGTGCCTCAATAGAACGTTTCATTGCTTCTCTTTTAGTCAGAAGTGTCTGAGGTCTCAAAGAAGCAGGCCTGCTATAATTTTTTCCGCGATACACAATAATTGCATAACCCTTACTCACTCTCTCCACTGCCACTAGTATCCCACCACTTTCTGCCTCTAAGGTTTGTGCTACTTGGTGAACAGCTTCGATGCTTTTCTCATTAGATATTATCTTAACGAGTTCCCTGTACTTCCAATGAAGATGCATGTTTTCAATTGTTCCATCAAATACTCCTCGCCTTCCTGAGCATCAAAATATAAGTTAAAACCACTTCTAAAGGAACTAGATATTTTGATAGATTTCCAATATGACCTATGAGTTAATTCAAAAGAACAAAATAATCAGGTAACAAGCAACAAATAGTGAGTTCAAGAGAGAGTAGATGGCAACTCACCCATCAGTAGGAAAGGCTTCATTCTCAAGCCAACCTTCCTTAGCATATATCTTTCTTCTTTAGTAATACCTTCTTTATCTATTTCCGGTTGTTGGGGGGTCGCTGCGTTCTCCAGATCCGCTAGAAGTTTTTCTGCCTTTACTCTCTTTTCTAAAGCCTGTTGATTACAGATAAGCCATTTGTAACACACAAAACAGCCAAAGCAGAGAATTCACCTAACTGTAGCATCTCAATGAAATCATACCATGGACAATTTAATGCTAGTCCTATCGACAGCTGCCTCGGTAGACTTTAGCTTTCTTGCGGATGGAAGCCCCATTTTATGATCATCGATCCAGACATGTTTATTTTCTGGCTCGATACTGGGTTCAAGATCCTGTCTAGATGGAACTGAGGTACTACGCTCAACACGTATTGCATGCCTCCTCCGCTCTTCTATTGCAGACGAAACTGCAGGTGGCAGAAAATCCTTTCCCCTATACAAAACTATAAATTCCCTGTCCCGAGCAAGCAGAGTTCCGCCAGTCAGCCTCTGCAACAGAGTACATTTAATTAAAAGTAGCAATCGTCACAAAGTCTTCCAACATGAATGTATGATAATTAAAGAAGAAGTCCCCATTCAAATCAATTTAAATGTAAATTGACTGGACAAGCAGTTTATTCTAGTTATAATAGAAAAGTAAGACTGAAGAGAAATTCCTAGCTTATCTTCAACCTTTAACTCTTCAGCCATCATCTCGCTATTAGTGTTCTGTACCCCTCTTTTAACAGCTATTTTGGCAATCTCACATTTTTCCCAGAGTTTGACAATGGAAGCAGCCAAACCCTGAAGATTTCTATTTCTGCCTGTAAACAAGAAAAAATTTAAAAAATTATAGTAAATAAACACTGGCCAGAAAACAAGAGTTATAAAAGCTTAAGCCTAACTCACCCAATGCAAAATGACATGGTAAGGGTCGGCCGAGTCTTCTTATTGTGGTCATTTCATCATCTGTTAGTTTAGGCTTCAGACCATAGGGAAGAAGGCGGAAAGGTTTCCTGTATCCAGGAACAATGGCTGGTAGAAGGTCAGCATCAACGGGAAGAGGTTCGTAACCCCACCAATCAGTAAACCGCGGCCCCAGTCCCTCTAACATGCTGTCATTTTCTTCTGAAAGTTGTGCCTCGCCCGGAAGTTGAAACCGAACTCTACCTGGCAAACCAACACCTTGTACTAATCCTGGTTGAGCTTGTTCATAGCTTGTACTTGGTACTATAGCAGAGTTTACATCATTTTTGCTGGATGTACCGCTCTCATTTCCTCCATCATTGATGTGTGTATCAGGTAGTGCATTAGAGTTAGCCTCGCTCATTGAATCTTCGCAAACATTGTCACGCAAAAAGTATGGATACTTATAGTTCACCCCCCTATACAAAATTATCTTACTTCCAGCCCTCCAGACAACCAGCCCTCCAGTTTTTCTCTGAGAATGTCAGGACAAGGGATATTACCAACCTGTTAATCCAACCAGAGTGTTGCTTTTGTACTAGATTATGCGTTCGTTTGGAAGTGATTTTAAAATAACTAAATGCGCTTTTAGAGAAAATGTTTTTGGGTTCAAAAATCACTTGAAGTGCTTTCTGCAACTTCAAATGCTTTTCCAGGATTCACTTGCATTTTACTAAGGATTGGTTCCAAAAATAATTTCATCAAAAGCCCTTCTGACAATATTGGACAAAAAATGTCAAACTGTTTATGGGTCATAGAAAGTGCTTCTGGGAAAGCACTCCTTTAAAAGCACTACGAAGTGCCTTTCCAAGAAAGTGTTTCTAATTAAAGCACTTCTAGTAAAAGCACTTATGACCAGAAGAGCAAGCAGTCCCAAATGGGCAATGTCAAGTGACTCAAATCGATAGCAAGTATAAACAATCATTGCACAAGTCAAAAACAAAAACATTGAGTGATTCAAATAACTAGTGAAAATTGAAGCCTAACCTCCAACAAGTCATGAGTCCTCTTCATGTTCAACCTACACAAATCCTCACACACAATCTTCACAACCTCCGACCGCCGCCAGTTCTCGTGAATCCCATTCACAATCCCTTCAGTAATCCCAGCCTTCCCAATCTTCAGCTTCTTCCTCAGCCCAAGCCCAACCGTCGTTAGCCGCCTCAACTCACCCTTCCCCAATCTCAGCTCCGCCAATGTCGGAACCCTCCCCTCCCCCTTCCCCTTCCTCTCCTCCCTCTCTAATTCCTTCTGCTTCTTCACCTCCCGCCTCAACTCATGAAACCTCGCAATCGCTCCGCCGGTACCCGGTTCTGGGACCGCGTTCTCGGGCGTGCTCCAGCTTGCATCTAGCGTGTGCCCGACCCGGTACTTGGGCAATTTCTCCGGAATCGGAACAAAGATTTCCCCGGCAGACTTCGTATCGGGCTGCCTGTCGGGATTTTGGGTGCTCTCGGTGAACCCGAGGCTTCGGAGCTTCTCGGCGATTCTCTGAATGGCAGACTTGGGCGCAAGTGTTTTGGTGTCGGCGGCGGAGCTCCGAATGGTGAATTTAGAGGATTTAGGATTTTGGGAGGGGAGGGTTCTGGGAAAGGAAAAGAAGGGAGAGAGTGATGGGTGGTCGGTTATGGTTTTTGGCGGGAAGCGAGAAGTGGTAAGGTGAGTTGCAGAGAGACTCATCGGCGGCGACATTTCATTGCTCAGCTCTCCGACGGTTGCAGGGTATCAAGTTTCAAGCGGGTGAACGCTTTCGAGCCAATTGTTAACGACTATCTATCTCTATCCTCAAATCACGTGACTCGCGCGTGAAATCCCGCGGAAGGGAAAGAATTGAGATGTGCAGGAAACACGGGCAAATACATCAAGACTAACAATACAATTGATTGAAATTTTTTTGTTTCAAGTTTTCAACCAATTGTATTATGACACTTGATATATCGGATCACATTCCCGGCACTGAAAAATTTATCCCTAAATCAAAGCCATATGACTTTTCTATATATAGTAAGAAAGGTCAAGGTCAACAGTTGTTCCAATAACCTTTTTGTTTAAACGAGGGTAAAACAATTTTAGATAATGTTGTGTTTGCTAAGGGTTACTAAGTGAACGCCTTCAAAATTCTGTGAGAATTCATACAGGTCATTGCGTGATTCGAATCAAGATCCTCTTCAAATCTCGCAGTCGAGAGCTGAAGGTTCGAGAAATCCGGACTACTCGTTTTAAATCAACCACAAATCATCATTACAAAGAGCGAGTTGCATTTTAAGCTTAAACCACAGAAAGCAGAAAGAAAAATACAGTTCCTTGTACAGACAAATTATGCGCAATTGCGTGAACGATTTACAGAACTTACATGGATGATTATATATAATTACAATTGTCTCCTGTGATTTACAACAGAGTTATTATGCACAATTTGAATGCAGATCCATCCAGCTCATAAACATACAAGAGGAATTACAGTTAGATCACGAGTAATCCTCGAATCAAGGCGTTCTCTGTCCTGTAGATTGCAGAGATTCGTTTTCAGTAAGTCGAAAAGCAAACATAAACTTTTAAATTGAAGGCTTGAAGACGGGAAAGTAAGTTTTTTCATTCAGATATGAAAGCATGAGGCTACGTTTTAGCTATTGCGGACGAGATATGCTTTAACACTCACGTTTTGAGATGAAGGTACTGATCGACTGTGAGAGGTTTTGGACCGCCAAACCAATCGATCAGAAAGATATTCTCGATGTCCAATTTGAAGAACTGGAAGTTGTGACCCTTGGGCCAGTCTGTTAACCATCCAACAAAAACAAAAATCACTTAATTAGCTGAGCAAGAGATAAAACGAAAAACTGAAATTACGAAAGAACCGCAGGTTGTGTGTGATATTTGTGTATTTAGTATTACCCTTCATCTCCGGATGCTTTGTGAACAAGGCACTTATAGCAAATTCTGTTTCTTTGGGATCCGCAAGCTTCAGCTGCAAAAATATCATGCATCCCAGGTTAACGATAATTAATGCGATTTATCCTCCTCCTCGGGAAAATATGGATAATAAATAAATTCTCTGGTGCAACACACCTTCCCGTTAAGTGTAAGCTTTGCACAAGTGGGATTCTCTGGGTCTCTCTTGCCGCAGGTTCCAATAGGATGCTCACTAATTGTCAACGAAGCTCTTGGATCATTCAGTGCGTTTCTTGCAGTCGGATCAAGAGTTGTCAAGTAGAAGTAAGGGATACCACGGCCGTTTCCAGGTTCTCCATCGCTAAATGAAACCACATTCCTGCATCGTATTTTCAAAATTATTTTATCCGAGAAACATCATAGTTGTTGTAATGATATAGAGGTTTCATTAACCATCTGAGATACAAGAGTTTGAGGCAAACATAGAGCGCTATTGTGCGGAAAGGCATAACAAATGGATCTTTTCAAACAAGAATCGCAGAGCGAAGAAAACTGCATTATGCAATACGCACACTGTCCTACTGGTGGTAATTTTCTTCTTTATGTAAACTCGATCCTCCTACAGGGCACAAGTACTAAAACAAAGAAAGGAAACTAAACACTAGGATTGTATGTCTTGCCTCAAGTGAACCCTGCAAAATATTTCGCTTTTGCAGTTGTACCTAAACTTGTACTTATGAGGGCGGAAACTAGACATAGATACTAGCATTAGCATTCGGTAGTATATCTAACGCGATCATATATATAACAAGAAAAAATAAGAAATCTTACCCGAAGGGTGCTCCTCCCAATTCACTTGAGATAGTACTGTGAAAGAAAAACAAATCACAAGCAAGCATCAAATGTCTAAGCTTCCAAACAAAAATATTTTTCGTAAAAAAACTTAGTCGATATTTTTCAAGGAGCACTTGGGATTTTAAAGAAAATATCAACTACTTTCTAATGAAAACACTTCTAACGTACGGCTCGTTTGGAACTGCTTTTAAAATAACAGAAAACGGTTTTTGTGAAAATGTTTTTGGAACCAATCTTTAGGAAAAATGCATGTGAATCCTGCAAAAGCACTTGAAATGCTTCCTACAAGAATCGCATAACTGGAACCTAGAAACTACTTTTGGAACTCAAAAACATTTCTGGCTTTCAGTCATTTTAAATTGAATTCTAAAAGAGTTTATAAACGCTTATGAACTAAAGTGCTTCTTAGATAAGCAATCATAAACGACCCCAACAAGTGCTTCCGTAACCAGAAGCACTTTTAATTCTTACTGTCGCTAAAAGCACTTTCTAAGAACCAATTTACAAGCAAGTAAGATTCTACAACACCCAAACATGTTTGAATTTCATCACAAACACATGAGCTTCGAAATCAGATCTCCAATTTGACCAATAAGAACCAAATTAAAATCACACTAATTTGGTTCTCGAATCAGCCAACATAATCATAGCCAAAAAGCCCCCAAATTAACCGAAAGCAATCTTCCCACGACAGTAAAAAGTAAAAAAAAACCAACAGAAACAACACGAAATTACGAGAAGAAAGTAAACAGATTCTTACTTCAAGACGCCCCAGGAATTCTGAGCGACCAACCAACGAGCAGTGGCGGCAGCATTTTCCGGGTCGGGTTTTTTCAGCAAGAGAACCCGCCCATCCACAGGCAGTTGGATACCCGACGGTAGAGAAACCAAGTAGACTGCGAACACGAAGTGAACAAGACCTTTGATCATCGTCGTCGTCGTCGTCGTCATCGGACTCTGTCGGTTTTTTGTTGTGGTCTTTGTGCAGAGAGATGGAAAGAAGGAGATGAGCATAATACTGTACGGGCATGTGCAATTTATACCCGTAATCTTACGGGCTGACCGATCCCCCAACTACCAGTTGTGAGGGCTCGCCACACAGGGAGGTGTATCCTCTGCAAGCGGGTGTAGCGGATATAACCGCCGGTCTCTCTTTTTCTTCTTTTCTGTTTTGGTCAAAATTTCTTATTTTCCTCATAAACAATATAGATAGGTTTGAAAATCTGATCTTGTTGTTTTCGTATCATATTCATTATTTTAACGAGTTGGGTTGTATTGAACTTACTATCTAAATGGGTCTTAATAGGTGACTTGATAATGACCTTACATGTTAATGAGTTTTAACGAATTACCCGTTAATGACCCAACTCATTAACTAATTGACCTGAAACTCGTTATTTTTATGGCATTTCATTTTACGTCAGATAACTGGTTGTCTAAGAAATTGCCAGCTCTAAATAAATAGATGCAAATAAATCTTCAAATTTATTAAAAAAATGAGATGTTTTAAGAAATATTCTAAAAAATGAAAAAAAAAAAGGTGGAAAATTAAAATTAAGAAAAAAAAGTTGCACAGATGACCGAAGAGTTTGCATGCGCTTGATTGTAGCTTCTTCCTGGCCCGTGAGTGGGTCCCCCAACATGGTTTTGGGCCTTATCCGTTATCACTTTAATTCTAAATAATGCCTCTATCTACCTTATCCGGCCCACGTTTTTTCTCAACTGGCTTTTTGTTTTCTTATCCATTTTTATTCACTTTATTTATTTTTGGAGAAATTCACATCAATTGTCCACTTGGAGCTTATACAACACTAACAGGTCACTAGTCATAGGACCCACAACCATAAGCGTGTCAAACAATCAGAGACATAGGTCACTTGTTCACTTCTAACACCGGCATCATCCCAGATTAAAGACATATTGATAGGAAGGGATTCCTATATTTTTATAAAAATGGGGATTAGTTATAAAAATAGAGATTAGTTGTGGGGTTCACACCATATCAAACTTTAACGATCCGAACGGCCTATTTTTCAAGTTGCACCTCATAAATCATCCTTGTAAAATATTAGCTAAATCAGAAATGTTTAAGACATCTAATTAAGTTCATTAGAAATTAACGAATACTTTGTTATAGAAGAAACAATGAAATTTTATCTTGATCATTAAATAGGCAAATAGTTTCAGATTGAATTAAATTTTTGCAAGGATGATCTATTGATCGAGACTTTAAAAATAGACAGTTCGAATCGTTAAAATTTGATGTGAAGTGAGCCCCATACCTAATCTCTATTTTTTGAAAAAAATGAGAATCCTTTTACATAAAAGGTCTGTTTCTTAATTTTCTGATCTGAGACTTATATTCAACAAAACACACAAATATTTGTCGAGTTTAGAAAGGGCCAACAACAAATCAAGAAGCCCATAAGTGCTGGGCTTCACAACTGGACTTGACCGCAAAACAGTTGGACTAACGGAAGCCCACCCAGCTAGTCCACAGGTTCGCGGAAGCAGCGGAGAGCACATTCCGAAATGCAAATAGTCCAACCGAAAAGTCAGATTCCTCCGAGAATTGTCAGCTGAAACATCATCATCGATTAAACAATTCCGAAAGAGTCCGACATGTCGACGCACGCCAGCAACACCAACCGCCCGACCGCTTCAGAAATCCGAACCCTCCGTTGGAATTGGAGCCCCTCAACGTCTCTGCACTGACAAGGTAAAAAAAAAAAAACACCAATCCGAAGATCAAGCACATGGGGTTTCTCACCTTCGCCGCCGCAGGCGGCTGCCTGATCTTAATAGGCGCGTACGAAGCCATTTCCTCCTCAATCCAAAACCCAGATTCAGATTCATCTCCGCCGTCGCCGCCTCAACCTCCGATTCGTCCCCCGATGGCGCAGTCGAAAGCGAAAACCCAGTCTCTGTCGTCGTCGATTTATTACCTGGCCGCCGCCGTTATTTCGTTGCTGTTCATCTTGAACTCTTTGGTTTCGTTCTTTGACGCGCTCGACTCAGCGGATCCAGTCGGCTCAGCTATGCAATTGCAAGTGCTGGCGATCGCGTCGCTGTTCTTGCTCTACGCAATTACGGGTCTTGTGGTAAATTTCACGAATTCAGCTCTACCTTGTTCGTTGCTTAGTTTGGTCGGTCTTTTCGCTTTCGTTGAAGAATTTTTAATGTTTTACATGCAAAGAAAAGACACTTTTGGAATCGAGAATCGGTACTTTGATCTGCTGCTTGTGCCGATTGCTGTGTGTATATTTTCTACAATGCTTGAATTCAACAACCCCAAATCGAATTATCCGAAATTGGCTCGTGGGGTTGGGCTGGTTCTGCAGGGAATGTGGTTTCTGCAAATGGGTATTTCTTTGTACACCAACTTCGTGGCGCACGGATGCTCGTTGCACGAAAAGAGTAGAGGGAATTACACTGTGAAATGCAAGGGGCACCCTGAGTATCACAGGGCTAGAGCCATCGTCACGCTTCAGTTTAACTGCCATCTTGCTTTTATGGTGGTTGTGCTTGTGGGAGTGTACTCGATTATTGCTAGGAAGCGTGGTGGATTTCGGGGTGATGTTTTGCACTATAAACCGCTTGGCGCAGAGATACATCAGTTTGATAATCAGAGCCAATTTACTTTGGATTCTGATGATGGCGATGATGAGATTAAAGAGGAGGGGAATTCGGCAATGCAGAAAGCCGGCGAAGTGGAATTGGGTGTCAACGGTTTTGGTTCTCATAAGTGAGGTATATCTTACCAAATTTTGATATGCTGAATCTAGAACTTCATTTTTTGTACCCTTAGAATTTATAAGCGAGTTGGAAGACTTCTTCCGGTTTCGTGCTGCATTTATGCATTCAGTTTCAACAGACTTCCTGAACTTGATGAGCGTTGTTGGCAGGGTGAAATACTGATAAGTAGTTCTTTGTAACTTCCATATAGATAGATAGTCTTCATGGGTGAGCTCAGCTTGTATGGTTGATGAGTAGGGATTTGGAAAATGATGTAGCAGTTCTTCAATCTTTGATCTCAAATGGCATTAAGTTTCATAAATCTTTTCTAAATTGATATCGTGAAAGTGAATCGATGTCTGGTTTTTTTTTATTAAGCGTTCCAAGTTTCATCAGTTTTGTAAAATGTTAAGCAATATGGATGGCCAATTTAATTTTCTTCAGTAGTTGCGTTGGTAATCTTTTATCATGTAACTCAATTCGATTTCGCTGCTGAGTTCAGTTGCATCTTATGTACATTCTCTTGGAATCGACATAAGTTCTTCGTACGAAGGACATATAGGAATATTTTTTAGTATATAAGTAGTATTTTTGGTGTTTAAGCTGCAAGATTGCACAGGACCAGGTTCAGTATTTAACTTTCATGGTTAGCTAACAAGTTTCCGAATTGCGGATTCAGAAGGACCTTACGAAACTCCACCTTTTTGTTTGGTTTTCTTCAATTTCCTGGATTTTCTTCATGACTTCTTGCCTACTCTACTCTGTAATCGGAGTAGCGTAAACATGGTTGGGTTTGGTAGTCCATTCCGTATGGATCTACGAAGGCAAATTTTCGCCGAGACGATTTTAAGTCATTCATGATTTGTGCTTCTATATAACGGATTAGGATTCTCTTCCCTTCTTTTTTCATCCCTGTCCATCCCCCCTATCACTCTCTATTTTGTCTTTCCCTTTCTATAAAAATTTAATATAAAATGTTGACGTGGCTTAACCGTGACCGTTTAAATAGAAGGGGAGAGAAAGAGAGGGGAAAAAAGAGGGGAGAGAATCCTTCTTCCTATATAACGAACACTGACCAAGCTTGCAAAAGGGTACAGTCAATTTGTTACTTGTTTTGTAGTTGTACAACAGAAACAAACAAGGTATGAGGTACTCCTGTGCATATCTGGGTTTACTGCTTGAAAGCTGCAAGTTCCCAGAAAAGTGGCAAATTGAAGCCGTTCCCACCGTTTGTTTCTTACTAACCAGAAAACAAAATTGGCTTAAATGAATATAAATTAATAAATTAATTGTTAAACTCGTCAAAAAAAAAAAATGTTATCGGCACTGCAAAAATAATATTTTGCAGCTAAACTTTCTATAATTAGAAGAAAAAAAAAATTATTGTGAGGAATGTAGAATGAAGTTTTTAGAGTATTAATAACAGTTAAAAAAAATGTCAACATTAATTATTGGCAACATAGAGAACAAACATGACATAACTATATGATGTCGGCGCTTGTTTTTATAACTATCACGCGGTGGTCTAGTGGGTGGAGCGAATTTCAGGTTTGGATATCACCGAGCTCATTTTGGATTTGATTCCTGATGCTACTGAAACACATGATGGTAGCTCAACTGGTCCCTTTTTTTCATTAAAAAAAAAATTGGTCTTTTTAAAAATGATTATTTTAGGTAATTTTAGAAATCTAATGTGGTTACACCTGCATGTCACTCGTGAACATATTCCAAATTCAAGTGCATGGATTTGTCAAAAAGAAAATTGAATGTATTTGTAAGAAATCTGCCCAAAACGGCGTTTTAACTCGCACCCAAAATCATCTCTGATCTATAAATGAGAAATTGGAAGACACATTAGAAATGTTTAAAGGGAAATGCTAAGGATATTCTCGTAAAGTCGCATTTTTTTATGATTTTTTTTTCATTTTACTGTTTAACGTCAATTCTCGTGTCAACATTATTTTATTATGAAAAAACATGATGTGGCAAAAAATCCATGAAGAGTCACACTTTTAAAATAGTCTCATCTTTCTCATCCGTTGTGGTACTTATACGCCTTATTCTCGTAGAGTGTATGACCCTTCGCCTTTTGAGTTTACAGGTGGACATTCTACTCCAAAATAGTTAATACCTTTTAATTTTTTTTTTTAAATTTTAAAGGTTAGACCTTGCTTTAATCTTCCACCAATCACTCCCCCAGAATGATTAGTTTATATACCTAACTTATAAGAGGGGGTCGACATCTTAAAATTGTACTTGTCTTGTCCTTAGTTTTTTCTTTAAGGCCATTGTTTCTCGAACCTCAAAAGACCTCGTTACAGTCAAAGTCATTATCATATTACAATGGAAGACCCAACTCAATCTTGATTTAATTAGCAATTAATTAACGAGAGTTTTATCATTAATTATAACTCTGCAATTTTGTTATAGTAATATATGTATTACTATTTTGACAAAAAAAAAATATACATATTACAATATCACTTTCAATTTCATTGATATTTGTCTATTACCTACTGAGTTTTTCCCCCAACATATACAAATTACCAATGAGATTCTTCTAACTTCCTGAACATAGCCTAATTTATGGTGAGCGACGTACATTTTGTATCTACTTATGTATTGTTATCTTTTTACATATCATCATCACCTAGTGACCGAATCGCCCTCGCGAAGATCACTACACCACACTTTACGTTCACCCAAAGAGCCACCAGATTTTGTGCATCAATAGATACTTTTTAAGAAATATGTGGATGTCTAGCCTTCTATTTGTTGAACGTGTTAACATGTCTAGCCTTCTATTTGTTGAACGTGTTAACTTTGATGTTTGAGGAACACGACTATATTATGCAACGATCATGTTCTGCTGAACAACTTTCCCAATTCCTAATTCGGTAGTAAATCTTTGTGAAACTCCACTGCATCTAATGTATTGTCAATTTGTTTTGTATTTACAGTCAATTCTGTACATATCCTGCAATTTCCCAAGAAAATTATGCATGGAAAACCCAAGTCATTTCCACCATTTGTTTCTTATTAAACAGCAAACAAAAGGGCAACTTGAATATGATACGTTAATTACGATAATCTGTAAATTTATATTGTCAACTGATTTTACGGTGGATGTTCAATTTTTTTTGTATGGCTTAGGAGCATGTTGTCTTACATGTGAAACCCAATGGCCGCACATGCTCCAAGTCATCCGATTTGCATTGGCTATGTATTAAGCTTGAAAAATCTCCACACAAGAGAGGGTGTGTGTTAGAAAATTTTTTATAACATATGGGTTATGAATATAATAAAGGATGACAGAGTGCTTCAAGACACGTGTAAATACAAATGTTTCATACTCTATTTAGCTCACATGTAGTGTGCAGAGGGGATATACGAATATACAATTGATATACATATTTTTTTTCTTTTGCTATTAATATCTTTAGTCTTGTACAATGTCTAGTATTGAATTGATTGAAATAGAATTGTCACTAAACTTGTCAATCTATATTGAAGGAAAATTAGACAGCCAAGTAAAAACCTTGTCCAAGTTTTTAGGTTAAAAATGTATTAGTCCTCCCCATTCTACTATTTTTTTTTTTAAATTATGAAGTAAATTGTTCTTCCTTTAATTTGAACAAAATATAAAAATTAGTATCCATTTCTTCGTAGCTAGCAATTCATCCAACCAAAGCATATCCTAAACGCCAACCCCAAACTTCATACCACCGCCGTAAACCAAAGAAGCTCTATTTCATTTAAATCTTTTATTTTGCCACAATTTCTAGAAGAGTTTTTTTATTGTGATTAGAACATTGGACGGTGCATCATATGTCGTGATGCAAGTGGAGAGAAGTTTTTTTTTTTCAAGTGTCATTCCACTTGTATAATGACATATGACAATATGTACCTTCATTTTTTCTATGATACTTCCATAGACTTGACCAGAAAATCCTAATTTGCTGCATATGTGGGGGCCTTTTCTCTCTCATGCCTTGAGGTTAAATATATCCATAGGGTAATATGCTAGGGAAACAAAATTTTGTAAACCAAGGTATGTGAATGTTGATGTTTGAATTATTAATTAAGAATTTAGTTTAAAAATTTGGTCTACCTACCATTATCCTTCTCGATATTAATATGTTCTCTAGTTATAATTTAGGTCTCACCTTCCGACAGTCTCTCTTTGTAGTGACTAGTTTTATACGTATCTAATAAGAATAAGTCTCCAAATTTTGTTCCTCGGATTTTTTTTTCCAGGGTCATCATCTCGAACCTCAAGACTTAGGCACAGTCAAAGTCATGATCATATAGCTATGAAACCCCAGCTCAATTTCAATTTCGACATTAATAATGAGGACTTATGGGTGCTCATTAGACCTATAAATAGACCTCCAAATGCAAAGCTTTTGCAACATCCTGAATCTGCTTAATCATAAGTGCTTTACTAGTATAATCAATGGCATCACAAAACACCCTTTCTCTCTTCACAGTCACTCTCCTCGTCCTCCTTTCTCTCCTCTCCCAAGCAACATCGTCAGAAACACACAACCAAAAAACTTCACCATTCGAGTTCCTTAACCATCTCAAGGGCTGTCACAAGGGTGACAAAGTCCAAGGCATCCAAGACCTAAAAAAGTACCTTGAAAAATTTGGATATTTGAATAGCTATTCCGATAATGATGACTTCGACGACATCTTGGAGTCGGCGATCAAAACCTACCAAGTCAATTACCACCTCAAGGCTACCGGAACCTTGGATGCCAAAACAGTGTCGAGAATGACGATGCCACGGTGTGGTGTCCCCGATATCATTAATGGTACCACCTCCATGCGATCGGGAAAGAAAAGGCAACCTCATCACCGTGGCGGAAATGGTTCGACTCACACAGTTGCTCATTTTTCTTTCTTATCCGGAAACCCTAAATGGCCTTCGTCTAAGTACCAACTCACCTATGCTTTTGATCAAAGCACCCCAGCTGAGGCTCAGGCCGCAGTTGCACGAGCTTTTGCAACATGGGCAGGAAACACACACTTCTCGTTCAGTCAAGCCCAAAGCTACGAAAACGCGGATCTGAAGATCAGTTTTGGCAGGAGAGATCATGGAGATGGGGCCCCATTTGACGGCCGAGGTGGGACTGTTGCTCATGCTTTTGCACCAACCAATGGGAGATTCCACTACGACGCCGATGAGCCGTGGGCTGTGGGGGCTGTGGAGGGTGCTTTTGACTTGGAAACCGTGGCTTTGCATGAAATCGGGCATCTGCTTGGGCTAGGACATAGCTCTGTTGAAGGAGCTGTCATGTCTTCCGGTGTTCGTACTGGATTTACCCAAGGTTTGCATGCGGATGATATTCAAGGAATTAAAGCTTTATATAACACCTGATGATCAGATAATCAAAAGTACTAGAGGATAAATAATTAAAGTTCAGCAAAAGTCAACTTTTCATACTTTTTCTTTCCTTTATCAGATAATTATGGTGCCTCACCTGGAGTGTACTGAGATTTGCAATACATTATTGCATCAATAAAGTTGTAACAGCATATAAATATATATGCTGAAAATTTGATTTCTTTATCAAAATTATGAATTTTCTTTTTATATATTTTAATGTTTGAACGTTTTAGTAACTTTCTACATTTTTAGTAAACCATAGATTTGTTATGGTTTGAAGAATAAATTAGTATTGAATTCGTCATTTACCAGATTCGAACTTAAGATGTGTCACTTATAAGTGTAGTAAAATATCCTAGACCGTAGCAACTTTGATGATTAAATTGAAAGATTATACAAGAGTACGTTCAATATTTTACTTTTGTGTTGTTTCCATTTTACTACCCAAACTATGGATGCAAACTGTAAAGCGTAATTGGTCCTAAACTAGATGAAGCCGGCCCACACGTGTAGATATAAATTTTAAAACAAACAAAAAATGATAATTACCAATGTGGTTTAAAAAATGTAGTGAAAATATTATTTTTGGTCAAATGCCAATTTTAACGCTCAGAATCCCTTCTCCCTTGAGATGCACGCATTCTTACAAAGTCTACACACTTGAAATTAAAAAATGCTACTCTTATCACATTTTCATATGACATTTTTATCATCTCTCCAATAAAGATGGTAACCACATGCATTGTTGGGTCCTATCTATATTAGAAATGTGGTAGAAATGTTATATAAAAAATATGATAAGTACGTATTAGTCCTTGAAATTAAATTCAAAATAACTAACACACAGATGTATACATGCCGCCATGCAAATAATTTTGGTCTCAGTTTTAACAGAAAGCTATTGTGACCAAAATTGCAAAAGTAAGCACACAGTAGGACTTAAGTTGCCAAAACTGAAATAAGAAAAAATTGCTCAAATTACAGAGACCAAAGTGTAATTTGGCATATATATATATATATATATATATATATTTCTTTTGCTATCGAAGCATCAGTTAGTGTTAGGCTTTTAATATTTTAAGTTTATTTAGTGCCTACGATTGAATTGAGTTGGACTTAAGCCGCTTAGCGTAGAAATACATTAGTTTGATAATCAGAGCCGATTTACTTTGGATTCTGATGAAGGGGATGATGAGATCAAAGAGGTATATATTACCATAAGTGAGGTATATCTTACCTCATAAGTGAAATTGGGTGTCAACGGTTATGGTTCTCATAAGTGAGGTATATCTTACCAAATTTTGATATGTTGAATGTAGAACTCCATTTTTTTTACCTTTATAACTTATAAGCGAGTTGGAAGACTCTTCTTCTGGTTTCGTGCTGCATTTATGCATTCGGTTTCAACCAACTTCCTGAACTCTATTATCGTTGTTGGCAGGTGAAATACTGAATGTTAAAGTATTTCTTTGTAACTTATCTATAGCTAGATATTCTTTATGGATGATCTCAGCTTATATGAATAATGAGTAGGGATTTGGAAAATGATGTAACAGTTCTTCAAGCTTTGATAAACTGAGATTTTGAAAGTGAATCGATGTCTGGTTTTTTATTAAGCGTTCCAAGTTTCATCAGTTTGTGAAATGTTAAGCAAAATGGATGGCCAATTTTATTTTCTGCAGTAGTCGTTAATCTTTTAATCATGTAAATCAATTCCATTTCCCCGCTGAGTTCAGTTGCATCTTATGTACATTCTCTTGGAATCGACATATTATAGGATTTAGGACAATTAGCTAGGATTCTTTGCATCTTGTGTCCTAAATCTAGTTGTAAGCAGTTCTTCGTACGAAGGATATATAGGAAGATTTGGGTATTATATAAGTAGTATTTTTGGTGTTTAAGCTGCAAGATTGCAATTAGCAGGTTCAGTATTTAACTTTCATGGTTAGCTAACAAGTTTCCGAATTGCGCGAATTCAGACGGACCTTACGAAACTCTTTGTTTGGTTTTCTTCAATTCCCTGGATTTTCTTCATGACTACTTGCCTACTCTACTCTGTAATCGGAGTAGCGTGAACATAGTTGGGTTCGGGAGTCCATTACACGCTTACTGAGACCCGTATGGATCTACGAAGGCAAATTTTCGCCGAGACGATATCAAGTCATTCATGCTTTGTGCCCTGCGACGAACACTGCGCAAACTTGCATAAGGGTACAGTCAATTTGTTACTTGTTATGCAATTGTACAACAGAAACAAACACGGTATAAGCTATGAGGTACTCTTCTGTACATATCTGGGTTGAATACTTGCAAGCTGCAAGTTCCCAGAAAGTTGGCAAATTGAAGCCATTCTCATCGCTTGTTTCCTACTAACCAGAAAACAAAATTGGCTAAATTGAATATATTTATTAATAAATCTTAATTATTAAACTCGTCAAATTATTCTCGACCAAAAAAAAAAAAAAGTTATTGGCACTGCAGAAATATAATTTTGCATCCAAACTTTCTATAATTAAAAAAATACACTTGTAAGGAGTATAAAATGAGATTTTTGGAGTGCTAGTAACAGTTCAAATATATATATATATATATATAGATATCTACATTAAGATGTCAGCATTTTTTTTTTATAACTATCACGTGATGACCTAGTCGTTGGAGCAGTTTTCAGGACTGTATTTCATATGGTTCATTCTGGATTTGATTCCTGGTACTATTGAAATACACGATGGTAGCTACGAGATGTTTGAAATGCCTTTGTAAGTCTTTTCAGTCTCGAAACAATGGATAGTTGTGGCTTCGCCACCAGCTAGTCTATTCTTTAACCAAAAAAAAAAATTACATTTGTTCTTTTAAAAAATGATTATTTTAGGTAATTTTAGAAATCTGATGTGGTTACACCTGCATGTCACGCATAAGCATATTCCAAATTTAAGTGCATGGATTTGTAAAAGAGAAAATTGCATGGATTTGTAAGAAACGTGCCCAAAACGACGTTTTAGCTCGCACTCAAAACCATCTCTGTTCTCTAATTGAGAAAGTGGAAGATGCATTACAAATGTTTTAAAACAATGCTAAGAAGAGATTCTCGCAAAGTAGCATTCTTTATGGATTCTCTTTTATCTCACAGTTTAACGTTAATTATCGTGTAAACATTATAAAATATTGTGTAAAAAATATGAGGTGACAGAGAATCCATAGAGAGTCGTCCACTTTTGAGATAGTCTTCTTAACATTTCTCATGTTTAAAATGCCAAAAAAAAAAAAAAAAATTATGTTTTAATTTTTGTTATACATATATATGGAACATCAACTTTGACTAGAAAAAACAAACCTTGCGTTGTTTTTTAGATCTTGCTCTAGTCTTCCACCAATCACTCTCCCAGAATGATTAGTTTATACACCTAACTTATAATAGTGTGGGTCTACATTTTAAAATTTTACTTGTCTTGTTCTTAGTTTTTTCTTCACGGCCGGCGTTTCTCGAACCTCAAAAGACCTCGTTACAGTCAAAGTCATCCTCATATGACTGTGTGAACTTAGATTGTTATCTGATTTTACGATGAATGTTAAATTTTTTTTTTTACGGAATAGGAGCATGTTCTCTTACATGTCATTGGAAGACTAAACGGTGCGCCATATGTCGCGATGCATGTGGAGAAAAGTTTTCGTTACAAGTGTCACTCCACTTTGTATAATGACATATGGCAATACGTATCTCCATTTTTTCTATGATACTTCCATAGAATTGACCAGAAAACCCTAATTTGCCGCATATGTGGGCAGCCTTTTCTCTCTTATGCCTTGAGGTTAAATATATCCGTAGGGTAATATGCTAGGGAAACAAAATTTTGTAAACCAAAAGATGTGAATGTTGATGATTAGATTATTAATTAAGCGTTAATTAATGTGCTTATTTACTATTAGTGACACATTATTTGGTTTGCAAATTTAGTTTAAAAATTTGATCTCCCTACCTTTATCCTTATCGATATTAATATATGTTCGCTATTTATAATTTAGGTCCCACCTTCCGACAGTCTCTCTTTGTAGTGACCAGTTTTACACGTATCCAATAAGAATAAGTCTCCAAATTTTGTTCCTCGGATTTTTTTTTTCCAGGGTCATCATCTCGAACCTCAAGACTTAGGCACAGTCAAAGTCATGATCATATAGCTATGAAACCCCAGCTCAATCTCAATTTTGACATTCATAATGAAGACTTATGGGCGCTCATTAGACCTATAAATAGACCTCCAAATGCAAGGCTTTTGCAACATCCTGAATCTGCTTAATCGTAAGTGCTTTACTAGTATAATCCATGGCATCACAAAACACCCTTTCTCTCTTCACAGTCACTCTCCTCGTCCTCCTTTCTCTCCTCTCCCAAGCAACATCGTCAGAAACACACAACCAAAAAACTTCACCCTTCGAGTTCCTTAACCATCTCAAGGGCTGTCACAAGGGTGACAAAGTCCAAGGCATCCAAGACCTAAAAAGGTACCTTGAAAAATTTGGATATTTGAATAGCTATTCCGATAATGATGACTTCGACGACATCTTGGAGTCGGCGATCAAAACCTACCAAGTCAATTACCACCTCAAGGCTACCGGAACCTTGGATGCCAAAACAGTGTCGAGAATGACGATGCCACGGTGTGGTGTCCCGGATATCATTAATGGTACCACCTCCATGCGATCGGGAAAGAAAAGGCAACCTCATCACCGTGGCGGAAATGTTTCGACTCACACAGTTGCTCATTTTTCTTTCTTATCCGGAAACCCTAAATGGCCTTCGTCTAAGTACCAACTCACCTATGCTTTTGATCAAAGCACCCCAGCTGAGGCTCAGGCCGCAGTTGCACGAGCTTTTGCAACATGGGCAGGAAACACACACTTCTCGTTCAGTCAAGCTCAAAGCTACGAAAACGCGGATCTGAAGATCAGTTTTGGCAGGGGAAATCATGGAGATGGGAGCCCATTTGACGGCCGAGGTGGGACTCTTGCTCATGCATTTCCACCAACCAATGGGAGATTCCACTACGACGCCGATGAGCCGTGGGCTGTGGGGGCTGTGGAGGGTGCTTATGACTTGGAAACCGTGGCTTTGCATGAAATCGGGCATCTGCTTGGGCTAGGACATAGCTCTGTTGAAGGAGCTGTCATGTCTTCCAGTGTTCGTACTGGATTTACCCAAGGTTTGCATGCGGATGATATTCAAGGAATTAAAGCTTTATATAACACCTGATGATCAGATGATCAAAAGTACTAGAGGATAAATAATTAAAGTTCAGCAAAAGTCAACTTTTCATACTTTTTCTTTCCTTTATCAGATAATTATGGTGCCTCACCTGGAGTGTACTGAGATTTGCAATACATTATTGCATCAATAAAGTTGCAACAGCATATAAATATATATGCTGAAAATTTGATTTCTTTATCAAAGTTATGAATTTTCTTTTTATATATTTTAATGTTTGAATGTTTTAATAACTTTTTATTTTTTTAGTAAACCATAGATTTGTTATGGTTTGAAGAATAAATTAGTATTGAATTCGTCATTTACCAGATTCGAACTTCAAATGTGTCACTTATAAGTGTAGTAAAATATCCTAGACCCTAGCATCTTTGATGATTAAATTGAAAGATTATACAAGAGCACGTTCAATATTTTACTTTAGTGTTATTTCCATTTTACTACCAATTTCAACGCTCAGAATCCCTTTTCCCTTGAGATATACGCATTCTTACAAAGTCTACGCACTTGAAATTAAAAAATGCTACTCTTATCACATTTTTCATATGACATTTTTATCATCTCTCCAATAAAGATGGTAACCACATGCATTGGTGGGTCCTATCTATATTAGAAATGTGGTAGAAGTGTTATATGAAAAATATAATAAGTACGTATTAGTCCTTGAAATTAAATTCAAAGTAACTAACACACAGGATGTATACATGCCGCCATGCAAATAATTTTCGTCTCAGTTTTAACAGAAAGCTATTGTGACCAAAATTGCAAAAGTAAGCACACAGTAGGACTTAAGTTGCCAAAACTGAAATAAGAAAAAATTGCTCAAATTACAGAGACCGAAGTGTAATTTGGCATATATATATATATATATTTCTTTTGCTATCGAAGCATCAGTTAGTGTTAGGCTTTTAATATTTTAAGTTTATTTAGTGCCTACGATTGAATTGAGTTGGACTTAAGCCGCTTAGCGTAGAAATACATTAGTTTGATAATCAGAGCCGATTTACTTTGGATTCTGATGAAGGGGATGATGAGATCAAAGAGGTATATATTACCATAAGTGAGGTATATCTTACCTCATAAGTGAAATTGGGTGTCAACGGTTATGGTTCTCATAAGTGAGGTATATCTTACCAAATTTTGATATGTTGAATGTAGAACTCCATTTTTTTTACCTTTATAACTTATAAGCGAGTTGGAAGACTCTTCTTCTGGTTTCGTGCTGCATTTATGCATTCGGTTTCAACCAACTTCCTGAACTCTATTATCGTTGTTGGCAGGTGAAATACTGAATGTTAAAGTATTTCTTTGTAACTTATCTATAGCTAGATATTCTTTATGGATGATCTCAGCTTATATGAATAATGAATCGATGTCTGGTTTTTTATTAAGCGTTCCAAGTTTCATCAGTTTGTGAAATGTTAAGCAAAATGGATGGCCAATTTTATTTTCTGCAGTAGTCGTTAATCTTTTAATCATGTAAATCAATTCGATTTCCCCGCTGAGTTCAGTTGCATCTTATGTACATTCTCTTGGAATCGACATATTATAGGATTTAGGACAATTACCTAGGATTCTTTGCATCCTATGTCCTAAATCTTGTTGTAAGCAGTTCTTCGTACGAAGCATATATAGGAAGATTTGTGTATTATATAAGTAGTATTTTTGGTGTTTTAGCTGCAAGATTGCAATTAGCAGGTTCAGTATTTAACTTTCATGGTTAGCTAACAAGTTTCCGAATTGCGCGAATTCAGAAGGACCTTACGAAACTCTTTGTTTGGTTTTCTTCAATTCCTTGGATTTTCTTCATGACTACTTGCCTACTCTACTCTGTAATCGGAGTAGCGTGAACATAGTTGGGTTCGGGAGTCCATTACACGCTTACTGAGACCCGTATGGATCTACGAAGGCAAATTTTCGCCGAGACGATATCAAGTCATTCATGCTTTGTGCCCTATGCGACGAACGCTGCGCAAACTTGCATAAGGGTACAGTCAATTTGTTACTTGTTATGCAGTTGTACAACAGAAACAAACAAGGTATGAGCTATGAGGTACTTTTCTGTACATATCTGGGTTGAATACTTGCAAGCTGCAAGTTCCCAGAAAAGTGGCAAATTGAAGCCATTCTCACCGTTTGTTTCCTACTAACCAGAAAACAAAATTGGCTAAATTGAATATATATTAATAAATCTTAATTGTTAAACTCGTCAAATTATTCTCGACCAAAAAAATAAAAAATGTTATTGGCACTGCAGAAATATAATTTTGCATCCAAACTTTCTATAATAATAAAAAAATACACTTGTAAGGAGTATAAAATGAAATTTTTGGAGTGCTAGTAACAGTTCAATATATATATTTATATATCTACATTAAGATGTCAGCATTTTTTTTTTTATAACTATCATGTGATGGCCTAGTGGATGGAGCGGTTTTCAGGACTGTATTTTACACGACTCATTCTGGATTTGATTCCTGGTACTATTGAAATATACGATGGTAGCTACGAGATGGTTGAAATGTCTTTGTAAGTCTTTTCAGTCTCGAAACAATGGATAGTTGTGGCTTCGCCACCGGCTAGTCTATTCTTTAAACCAAAAAAAAAAAAAAAAATTACATTTGTTCTTTTAAAAAATGATTATTTTAGGTAATTTGAGAAATCTGATGTGGTCACACCTGCATGTCACGCATAAGCATATTCCAAATTTAAGTGCATGGATTTGTAAAAGAGAAAATTGCATGGATTTGTAAGAAACGTGCCCAAAACAACGTTTTAGCTCGCACTCAAAACCATCTCTGTTCTCTAATTGAGAAAGTGGAAGATGCATTACAAATGTTTTAAAACAATGCTAAGAAGAGATTCTCGCAAAGTAGCATTATTTATGGACTCTCTTTTATCTCACGGCTTAACGTTAATTCTCGTGGCAACATTATAAAACATAGTATAAAAAATATAAGGTAATAGAGAATCCATGAAGAGTCTTCCACTTTTGAGATAGTCTTTTTAACATTTCTCATGTTTAAAATGCCAACACAAAAAAAAAAAAAAAAAAAAAAAATTATGTTTTAATTTTTGTTATACATATATATGGAACATTAACTTTGACTAGAAAAAACAAACCTTGCGTTGTTTTTTAGATCTTGCTCTAGTCTTCCACCAATCACTCTCCCAGAATGATTAGTTTATACACCTAACTTATAATAATGTGGGTCTACATTTTAAGATTTTACTTGCCTTGTTCTTAGTTTTTTCTTCACGGCCGTCGTTTCTCGAACCTCAAAAGACCTCGTTACAGTCAAAGTCATCATCATATGACTGTGTGAACTTATATTGTTAATTGCTTTTACGATTAATGTTCAATTTTTTTTTTTATGGAATAAGAGCATGTTGTCTTACATGTAAAACCCAATGACCGCATATGCTCCAAGTCACCTGATTTGTATTGATTATATATTAGGCTTGAAAAATCTCCACACAATAAAGGGTGTGTGTTAGAGAAATTTTATAACATATGGGATATGAATATAATGAGGGATGACAAATTACTTCAAGACACGTGTAAATACAAATCCTTCATACCCTATTTACCCCACATGTTATACGAATATGCTTGTTACAATTGATATACATATTTTTCTTTTCTTTTGCTTTTAATATCTTAAGTCTTGTACAATGTCTAGGATTGAATTGATTGAAATAGAATTGTCACTAAACTTGTCAATCTATGTTAAAACAAAATTAGACAGCCAAGTAAAAACCTTGTCCAAGTTTTTAGGTTAAAAATATATTAGTCCTCCCCATTCTACTATTTTTTTTTTAAATTATGAAGTAAATTGTTCTTCCCTTAATTTGAACAAAATATAAAAATTAGTATCCATTTCTTCGTAGCTAGCAATTCATCAACCCAAAGCATATCCTATACACCAACCCCAAACTTCATGCCACCGTAAACCAAAGAAGCTCTATTTCATTTAAATCTTTTATTTTGCCACAATTTCTATGAGAGTTTTTTCATTGTGATTGGAACACTGAGCGGTGCGCCATATGTCACGATGCATGTGGAGAAAAGTTTATGTTACGAGTGTCACTTTACTTTGTATAATGACATATGGCAATACGTACCTTCATTTTTTCTATGATACTTCCATGGAATTGACCAGAAAACCCTAATTTGCCACATATGTGGGCAGCCTTTTCTCTCTTATGCCTTGAGGTTAAATATATTCGTAGGGTAATATGCTAGGGAAACAAAATTTTGTAAACCAAAGGATGTGAATGGTGATGATTAGATTATTATTTAAGTGTTAATTAATGTGCTTATTTACTATTAGTGACACATAATTTGATTTGCAAATTTAGTTTAAAAATTTGGTCTTCCTACCTTTATCCTTATCGATATTAAAATATGTTCGCTAGTTATAATTTAGGTCCCATCTTCCGACAGTCTCTCTTTGTAGTGACTAGTTTTATACGTATCCAATATGAATAAGTCTCCAAATTTTGTTCCTCGGATTTTTTTTTTCCAGGGTCATCATCTCGGACCTCAAGACTTAGGCACAGTCAAAGTCATGATCATATAGCTATGAAACCCCAGCTCAATCTCAATTTGGACATTAATAATGAGGACGTATGGGTGCTCATTAGACCTATAAATAGACCTCCAAATGCAAAGCTTTTGCAACATCCTGAATCTGCTTAATCGTAAGTGCTTTACTAGTATAATCAATGGCATCACAAAACACCCTTTCTCTCTTCACAGTCACTCTCCTCGTCCTCCTTTCTCTCCTCGTCCTCCTTTCTCTCCTCTCCCAAGCAACATCGTCAGAAACACACAACCAAAAGACTTCACCATTCGAGTTCCTTAACCATCTCAAGGGCTGTCACAAGGGTGACAAAGTCCAAGGCATCCAAGACCTATAAAGGTACCTTGAAAAATTTGGATATTTGAATAGCTATTCCGATAATGATGACTTCGACGACATCTTGGAGTCGGTGATCAAAACCTACCAAGTCAATTACCACCTCAAGGCTACCGGAACATTGGATGCCGAAACAGTGTCGAGAATGACGATGCTGATAGAGTTAAATGAACAAATAGGATTGTGACACTTGTAATCAGATTAAGAGAGTTAGTTATAGTTAGCAAGTGTATGCAAGTGTAAGAATGTTCTTGTATAAATACTCTCTAAGCAGAATACTGTAACAA